ATTTTTTTTTTTTTATTTTATTTTTCTCGTACAAAGAAAAATTATAAAACTATTTACCTCCGAAAAGTGAACCTTATTGATGCTGTGATCGCTCCGCACGAAAAACGGATTCAAGTCCTCCTTGCAGGTGATGACATTAACCGTATCTTCATGCGAATCCTCTTCTGTCCCATTTTCATCTCCTTTATCCATTTTTACGGTTTTATACTCGCGTAAAATGCTCAATTGAAACAATATAACATAACCTGAACTCTTTATTTAGATATACCATGCTTCCCGCCAATTCAAACGTTCGCGATACTCTCGAAAATGAGATTGATTAGAGTTCCACTATACACTTGATGCTACGAAAGTTTCGAACCGTTTGACCAATGAGAACAAAGAAATCTTTCGTTCTGATTGGTCAATCTAATGCTTCGAATATATAAAGTCAAGTGTAGTACACCTTATTATTTTCGAATCCGGAAAACACTAGAATAGGGACTTTACACTAGCAGATAAACAAGCTGCCTTTCTTCTAGATTTCATGGACATACACAATAACCTCAATATATAAGTTGTAAATAGTGTAATATTTTTGAATAACACCGTTTTTTTAAACAAGATTTCTTTTGCATACTTTAGTTATTATATCAAATAACTCGTGAATTTTTTAGGTATAAAATGATAGAATTATTGCCGAAGCAGACAATATTGCAATTGACGTCAAAGATTCGCAGTCACGTTAGATGCTACGCATCAAATCAACCTGGCGATTTCGTAAAGGTTGTCGAAGTTGCACCACGAGATGGGTTGCAAAACGAGAGGAAAGTGGTGCCTACCGAAATCAAAGTCGATTTCATCGACAGACTGTCAACGACCGGATTGAGGAGTATAGAAGTTACAAGTTTCGTATCCCCGAAATGGATTCCTCAGATGGCGGATAACGCACAAGTTTTTCGACAAATTGAGAAAAGACACGGTATATCCTATCCAGTACTAGTACCAAATCTGAAAGGCTTGGAGAATGCTATCGCGGTAGGCGTAAAGGAAATCGCAGTGTTTGGTGCAGCGTCAGAAGCTTTTTCCAAGGCAAATACCAACCGCTCCATTGAAGAAAGTGTGAAGAATTTTAAGGTTGTTATTGAGGAGGCAAAGAAGCATGATATTAGAATCCGTGGCTATGTATCCTGTATTGTTGATTGTCCTTATGAAGGAGAAATCAAACC